TAATTTATTCTAATATTAATTTGTTACAAATAAATAAAATTAAAGCAATACCAGAAAATTAGCCACCAAACCAATTTTCAAAATAACAGTCATTGACCACTTGATCGGCAAAGATCCCTTCTCTCCTTAGTCGAACAAAAATAATTCTGTTTTCAATACAATCTCTAGAGTAGCACTTTGCATATAACTTACGTATCATACATTTCTATTAATCAAATCCTTCAGATACTTTGAGCTCTCACATGCCTTCCCTTGCTTTTACATACATTTTTGTAAACCAAGTACAAAAATTCCAAAAAAATCCGCATTTTAAAACATGAATACTTAGACCTCCTACGTTTACTTCTCTTTGTACTATCGTTCAGAACAACAAAACTGCCTTTTTTAGACCAAGATCCAGGAGGAGTTTATTTAAAGCATAATTCATTGATTTCAACAAAAAATATTTTGAATCAAAGTTAATCACAGATTAATATCTAGTACCTTTCATTAATTTGAAGTAAACAGGTAAATTATTTTGATTTGCGAAAATAAACTGGTTTGTGGATGCAGGGACAACTCTTTCAAATGTGGATTTCTCTGAAGATATTACAAAGTCAAATTAGCTTTCTTTTCTCTAGTATGTGATCTTTTTGTTTTGTGCCTATCTATTTACTGAGATTACAGGGTATGCTATTTTATTTTGCTTCTATTTTCAGGTACTTGCAGTCTGGTGCTTGTTCTGGTTCCCAGTGGTTTAGCTGCATAACAATTAAAAGCTAACTGTACTCAAACTGCCCTAAATGAAGAGACCACCAATGCTGTCATGTCCTTTCCAAGGCCTCACATGAGGAAACAAGCTACAAATGAATCCTACCTCGATATTACTTTGTTTCAAAGACATTCACCACGTAATTAGAAGAGCTGTATCATGCGTACATACGTTCTGTACTCTCTATTTTAACAACTTCTATCTAAATAAGCATTTGTGAAGTCTTACAATCTATTTCTTACACAATACAACGCCCTCCTCCACTAGATGGCCCTGACACTCACTGTGTGTATCGAAGCTGTTTGAACACTTACACACGTAAAACAATTAAACAAGCAAAAAAAGTACACCAGCAACCAGTTATTAAGAAAAGCTTCTGACGTTGGCATACTTGCATACTCAGGAAACAGACAAAAAGTAAAAGATTATTTTGAAGTAAATTGATACACACGCACATCACCCCCTCCATACAGTCAGCAAAATTTTTTTATCTTCAGAGTCTAAAATCCAAAAATTTTAGCAGAATGCATGTCCTTCATATCCCAGATGTGAATACATAGTGAACGTTTTAAAAATTCAAGTTGCTTATTTTCTTGTGTAATAAAAAGCTGTACAAATAAAACAGAATTGAGGCCTAGATGGCACAAAGTAGTGCTGTTCAAGGATACGGCCATATTAAAACATTTCCTTCACCTGAGACAGTTTACCCTGCATACAGCTTCCAATACACACGGTACTCAAATCTGCCTTTATGAAGCTACACTATGCCATGTAGACTTAGCCAGACATGCATACGTTACAACTGATGAAAGTATATATTCATTATATAACTGCATTGCAAATGGTATGCAAAGACATCTAGCAACCCAACCCAAAACATTTTTCAGGTAAAATAATTGACTGTATTTCTCTCAAACTAACATAGTTGAATAAATTTAGCTGACAGCATCCATTTTTTTGAACGACCCTAAAGAGTGTATTTTCAAGACTGCAAAATAAAAAGCTATTCCTTGATAAAAGGTACATACTAGTATCAGTATCACAACTCCTCTGGTAGTCGCGTTTCTCTTATTGATCACTTAAATTGCTAGCTTTTTGGGGGGGGGGTTGGTGGGGTTTTTCCCCCCCACACTGCATCAGTCTGCAGAACTCATGGAAAGTGCAAATTTCATGTTCTGAGTTATGAGCAGGTATCTTAAACTTTCTCCTTTGCATTCTGACTTCATTTGTCATTCTACCCTTTACACACAAAAATGTTTCCTACTGCAAAGTCTGCAGGCAATTGATTATATTTTACTTCACCTACAATATTTACACATCGTGTAAACTGAATGATCTGCATACACAGATTTTTAATTAACATACACCCTTTAAATAAGGAAACTTTGCAAATGCATATGTTTTCCTTTTGAGGAATTAATCTATCGGTGCAAGGCTAGTAAGGAATTAAAGTGATTATTTCTGTTTAACATTTCAGGTTTACACACTGGTGTTTCAGCGATCCTAAATAAAACCTGGAGATAATAAATGTTAATTGACATATGAGAAGTTCAATGCAACCATTGCAAGTTCAATGGTTTTCCCTTTCTCCTTTAATATTTAGCACCTCTTCACTATTTTGATTTTGTTTAAAATAAGAGTAGATAAACACTTTTCCAGTTATCTGTTCTCTTAATGTTTCTTCTTTGGTCATCCATGTTTATCTTCATCTGTTATATTCAAAATGTTAGTGAAGATCTTTCAGTACCGATTCTAAAATCAGACTGAATATTTAGCATTGAACAAACCTAAAAAAGAATACACGAAAGTGTTTCAAAGCATCTATTTTCCAAGAAGAATGTTCAACAAAACTCCCAATTCCTCCATTTCTCTTCTTCTGATCCCACTTGTAATTAATTGTCAAGTAATATTTTCAATTTTCATTTAAAGAATATTTTTCTTTTATTTTGCATTTGCTATCGGTTGGGGAATTTTCAACTAACATGTATTTTCACTTAATTCACTTCAAGTATTTTTACTAGGATTGCAAAAGAAGAACAATAATTGCTCTGCACAAATACTGTGTTTCTGAGCAGGTTTAGAGACTAAATATTTCCAGAAATTAATACCATTTTGTGCTAAAATAACAACTTAATCCTACAAACCTGTTTAAATTTTCCTCTGATTTTTCCCAGATCTTCTTGTAGCTTATCGTAAGTGGGGTCTTCATATGGGAATTTCTGAATCATCCCTATTAATGAATCCAAAGCCCTTATCTTTTTGCTAGGAGGTGGGGGAAAAAAAAAAATAAAATCAAACCAGAAAAACCAATGAGCCTACTGCAGAAGTTTTTTCAATCCGTCAATATGAAAATTATACTAATACTTTATATAACAATTTAGAGTATAGAACCCCGCCCTCCATCCTTCTTTAACTCAACTTCTCCCATTTAGCTCACTGAGAGGGTGTATTTGATACATATTTAAGCCATAATCAGAAATTAAGCTGTAGCACAACTGACAAAGTTAAGGCTTCCCTTTTAACTTACCCCCCAAAAGTTGAGAAATATTCAAGAATCTTCAGAAATACTGATTAGATGACTGAGCTAAATAAAGAAATGCAATAAAAACAGCTTACCAGACCACTATCAAAATGGCTGACAGTATGGTGGCAATTCTGTCAGATAAATTAATCAAAACTGGACAAAAGAAATTATGGAGAAAAAAATGAAAGTCATAGAAAAATGTAAGTTGGAAGGGACAGCTGGCAGTCATCTAGTCCACCTTCTGCAGAAGCTGGACTAACTTCAAAGCTAGATAAGGTTGCTCAGGGCCATCTCCAACCAGATTTTGAAAATCTACAAAGACGGAGCTTCCAGAGTCTCTCTGGACAACTTGTCCCAGCGCTTAGCTGCTTGCACTGGAAAGGACTTTCTCTTTATGCCCCATTAGAACCCAACTTGTTTCAAATTGTGGAAGTTGCCTATTGTCCTTTCACTGTGCTCTTCTGCAAGGAACGTGTCTCCACCTCATCTAGAACTTCTCCTTATGTGGTACAGCTAGGTATCTCCCTTGTCTTCTCTTCTCCAGGCTGAAGAAACCAAGTTCCCTTATCCTCTTTTCAGTATCACACAGTCCAGCATATGATACCACCCTAGTGGCCCTCTGCTCACCTTTCTTCTGCTTTTCAGTATTTCTTCTGTATTAGGGAGGAGGCAAAACTGGACACCATAATTTGAAACGGTATTAAAGGAACAGTAATTTTTTTTTTTAACTTTACCTGTTCTTTTCATCCGTGCATTTCTGGAGCAGACACTGCCACGTCAGTGCAAACCCAAGGTAGCAGCCAATCTGCGAATTTATCAGAATGTCATGAGAGAAAAAAAAAATACATGTAGTATATATAGTCAAACGAAAATAAAGCACTACATTGTATCCCATTCTTCAGAAAACTGTCCTGGTTTTGGCTGGGATAGAGTTAATTTTCTTCCTAGTAGCTGCTATAGTGCTGTGGTTTAGATTTAGTATGAGAAGAATGTTGATAACACACTGATGTTTTAGTTGTTGCTAAATAGAGCTTACACTAGTCAAGGATTTTTCAGTTTCTCATGCCCTGCCAGTGAGAAGCTGGGAGGGGGCACAGCCAGGACAGCTGACCCAAACTGGCCAAAGGGATACTCCATACCATATGATGTCATGCTTAGTATATAAACTGGGGGAGCTGGCTGGGGGGTGGCGACTGCTGCTCGGGAACTGGCTGGGCATCGATTGGCAGGTGGTGAGTAACTGCACTGTGCATCTCTTATTTTGTATATTCTTTTATCATTATTATTATTATTTTCCCTTCCTTTTCTGTCCTATTAAACTGTCTTTATCTCAACCCAGGAATTTTACTTTTTTTTTTCTGATTCTCTCCCCCATCCCACTGGCTGTGTGGTGTTTAGCTGCCTGCCGAGTTAAACCACAACAGAAACAAATCACTGGATATAAAAATATGTTTCTACACCAGAAAGTTCAGTAAATTAGGGTAGGATAAATGAGGGCTTCTGTGTTACACAGTACAAGAGTCAGAAAACTTCTTGTAAGAATCTGTTTAGCATCAGAGCACAAAATATTTAAAATGCAGCATAAAAAGCAATTCTGCAAAACACTAGCCATACTTTATATGCTTTGAACCCTCAAATTTATTAAAGTATGGTAGTAGGGAGACAGTTAGAAAACAACCTATTTAAGATGTTTTGGTAAGTATTCGTTTTTGCAGCACTGTCAGTTTAAGCAGCCCACGCACAACCCTACAAAAAGGTGTACCAGCTGGACTGAGGGAGCTACCGAGTCAACCAAAGAGGAAACCACACTTTTTTCTAAGTTAATACACAAACAATTTTACCAGCCTAACTCAAGAGGGTACATGGAATCAGAAAGAAGCATGAGGAGCTGACTATGCTAACCTTGCTGCCAGAACTTTTCACTACAACTTTGGACACCAAATGAAATAGGAATATAGATAAGTTCTTCAATGCACCAACTGGATAAGTCGGCTGGAGTCCCTTTCAAAAGTGACTTAGCACTCACAGAAAAGCAACGCAAACACCTGCAACAAAAGTTAGCTGACTTTGAGAAATTAAGTCCAAAATTACAGCCTAATCCTACTTCGGTCCATATGTGTGCATGGGCGTACACCTGCCATTTAAACTTACAAAACATTGTTGGACTTGTAAGCTTCTGTGGCCTGCAAACCACTTCAGAGTAGAGTGGGAGTGTTTGGCAGTTCCAGTCTTCCGCTAGTTATGTTTGTTCAAGTACACAGTGGAGGTTCTTTTTAAGCCCCAAACATGGGTTTGAGACTTAACATCCCATTAATACGCTCAACCATATTTGAAGTGAGGCTTCCAGTTAATTTTTTGTTGACAGCAATTTAATTTGCACACCCCAAAACTGCTTAGAGACCCAAGGTAAATGGAGACAACTGACAGATACAGCAGTTACCACTGTTGTAAACACAAGCTACCATGGTAAAACACACCTGGCCCCTGGACACCTAGCCGCAGACTTCTCAGCTTAATTAGCACTGTTCTACCACAAGGTTGCAGTGCCAATCTTCTGCCTGAGCCCAAGCAGATACTGTGTCTAAGCCTGCCTGAGGGACGTGCCCAAACCCAGACACACTTTAATTATAATGTCTTACTTTAATTCTCTATCAAGCAAGGCCAGTATCAAATCAGCATCATAATTTTGCCCAAGACACAAAATAGGCTGACAGGTCTAAGATTACCTAAGTCACGCTTCCTCTCATTTAACGTAACTCGCTGTCTACAATCCTACTGTCCTTTGCAGCTTCCCCAATATAAACAGATTAGAGCACTTCTCTGTTATGGTCTGTCTAGGACCATTTTGTATAAAACTATCCAGCTTTGGAAGCTGCTATTTAACATCCTCATCTTGGAACTACATAGTTGTAGCGTAAGTAGGAAAATATTTCATCGCTGTACATCTCTGTATCACACCCAAATGCAAACCAAAATTTTACGATAACCATCCTTTCAGAATTTGACAGTTTACCTTTCCTACTTCAAAATGGATTAATACCATTGCTACTGTTCTTTCTGTAGGTAATTAACTTTCCGAAACCTGAAAATATCAAAAGGGCAAATTGCCAAATTACCCAAAGAGCTTCAATAGATCGAATAGATTTAGATTTATGGTGCCATACTTGAAACAAGGCCTGCCATGAATCCTGTAGCACAGCTTCCCATCAAAGCTGAAAAAACCCAGTTCAGGTCCAAAAATACTATAACTACATTGTACAGCACTGAACACACTCCGTGTTATGATAAATTTGAGCTGGACATATGAGACAAGTTAAGGTGCTTCGCCACCACTCTCCAGTCCTTTCATTTCTAGGAAGACTTATTGATTCAGGTATGCCACTGTGTGAGTGTGCCAACATACAGAACTGACTCCATGTACTAAAGAACAACAAACTCTCCCAGTATTAGAAATAACAGAGTGCAACAGAGACACCCAGAATTGCCCCTTTACGGTTCTCTAACCAAGAGGTCTCAATGTTTCATGTTTTTGCCTAATCTGAGCCACAAGAGATGGTACAGGGGGGCCTTATCCACAATTTTGGGTTACAGTCCATCATCTTTTTTTCCTGATGTTTGATTTTATTTGCCTCTTCTTATCCTCCCTTTCAGAAAAAAAAGTAACCAAAATCTCATCGAGCAAATAAACTCAGAAAACACCAAACCACCTATTTAACTGTTCAAATCAAAATACGACCTTTAAACTAGTTTTATGGGCCCTCCTGGATACATGAAAAGCACTATAACATAGCAGGCCTCAGACTACCAATATATCAGGCTTTGCCCAACAGTTTCTGTACCACAATAATTTTCTAATGACAAAACCATTGCGATTCTGAAGTATTTTCCCATTTACCTCAGACCCAATCTTGGCACCATGGAGGGATCCGTACCTCCTTCCCTCAACAACTCCAACGTGACTGCCTTCAGCATACCCCTCCTGATACCCCTCACCGTGAAACCTGTAAAGACAGAAGAATAATTTTTTAGCACCTATTTTTCATTTTAATTTCATATCAAACCCATGCTGCACACAAGCAACTCACAAGAACAAAAACATGCTGTATCATCTCAGAAACGCAACTGATCATATTTAAAAATATCACGTAACTTTGATTTAAATTAAGATGCAATTATGAACACTGTGACTTCTTCAAACAAGTTCATAACAATTTGCCAAGATTGCGCACTCTGCAATCCAGCTCAGTACTTTCACCAGAATAACACACCTAACTACAAGCTCACAACTCTGGGTTAAGTTTCCACGCGGTGGAAGAGCCAAGATAGAGCAGGTCGGTCGGTCAGCAAGAGCAAAGTGGAGAATTTCCCCCGCCCTTCTCCTTCCTCGCCCCTTCCCCGGACTCATTACCCGCCCTTCGCCCCTCACTTTTTCCTTCTCAGCTCTTACTGCCGGCTGTGGAAGCCCAGGCCCAGGCCCAGGCCCAGGCCCA